GGTTAATCAAAAATTTAACCTAATAAAAATATAATTTAAACCGATAGAATTCTACCTCATTTAGAAGAGGGCTGAGAGGTGGTGGAGGAGGGGCTCATCAAAATTGAGAGGGGGGATCAGTAGTGATAAAGGGGGGGCTCGCCAATAATTTCACTTAATAAAAACTACGTTAGAATTGTACCTTATTTAGAGGGGGACTAAGGGTGAGCCAAGGAGTTTGGAGGAGGGATGTGCGGAACGACCCTTCAAAATCACTATATAATGTAAATAATCTAATGTCTTCCTGTGCCAACTCTCTACTTAGAGATTGTGTTATAAATATAATATTTCTAGAATATGTTTTAATTTTTTATTTTACGCAGCCGAAAAAAGTGACATAATTAATAATTCATTAATAATAATAAATAAGTAAGAAGAAATCAACTTTTTTCTTAAGTCTTACTTGTAATTTTAAATTCTATATTCTAAAATGAGACAAGCAGTATGTTTTTTAGTTAATAGTGCTGATGTTGCTGTTTACTGATTGTATCTGGGTTCTACTGATATGCATAAGCAGGCAAAAATAACGTCACTCGTGTAATTATAAATGCTGGCTGAAAGTAAGTTTACATTAGCAGAATTAAGCAACAATTAAAAGGTGTGCAGCGCCTCCCTATTTAAGTAATTCACTGCTTGTAGCGGTTTTTATATACCAACAAAACTACTCGTAGAAACCAAATACAATGGAACACGAGCATAAGCATTAGCGCTCCGCGCGCTAATTTTTAACCCAAAGGGGATGAAACACTTGCACATTTATGGGCAACCACGGTGTCAAACGTGTGAAAGCTGGGAAAAGCCAGTAATTAAAATTTGCTGCAATTCTAACGCTTAAACGTATTTTTTCATTTTAAAACTAATACTTTCTTTAGTATTCGAAGATATCTGAAAACGACGTAGGTTGGATGGCACTCACTTTCCTTTAGGCTTTTAAGTTCTGCCACTAACAGAGGTGCCACACCATTCTCGATCCTTATACAAACAAAAATTTTTAGCTATTCTGACGAACTTTGCATTTAACGGCTCTGCATTGCCGTGTTATTCTGCATATACATGATTTTGATTATACAGCATATACATTAACAGTATGAAGTTTTAAAGAGTCTGAGTCCTCGAAACTTGTTGTTTACCACATATATCAACTGAAAATTTTTGAATAATATTTTTGTTGACCTCCTTAGAAAAAGTTAGAAAACACTTTAACTTATATAAACCTTAATTACAGATGGAATTAAGGTAAGAAAAATATTAACACTTAAGTTTATAATATGTATAATTTTTTATAATAAGTATATTTTTCAGCAATGATGATTTATACCCCTGCAACTTCTGCAACATAGAATTTCTAACACCTGAAAACTAAGAATTCATAAATTGAAACACATAGAATTAAAATATTTTTGAGAAATTTTTGGAATTGTTTTTACGAAAGGAAAAAATTTTAGTAAGGCACAAAAAAGAACGCAGTGACGAGAAATTATTTTATTGTACAGAATGTGAAAAAATGTTCAAAATATCGTCACATTTAAACAGACTTATATTTATTTATAAAATCCATGAAAAAAAA